TGCAGTAATATCCCGAGAAAGGAGTAAAACCTGAATCCTTCAACAACCAGGTTTCAGTAACGCCCGCTACATCAGAACCTAGTTCTTAGACTGTCTCTAGGTCTAGTATTTTATTTTTAACGCTGCGGACATTGATGTAAATGTTCAAAATGCTTGAAGAGTCACTTGGCGTACGCGTACATGCACTTAAAGAATTCAATTCCAAGAAGTGACAACTCGCAAACTCATAATTCTAAGATTATCTCCCTTCCCTTATCAAACTTTTAGTTTGATAAATCCTTTTTTTATCTGATCCTTAAGAGGCCAGTCTGGTCGGATGTGATTAACTGAACGGCTTAGTGTGGGTGCGTTCAAAGGTATATCTGTTTGTTTGTAATCTAGAAGAACTTTTAGAATCCTCCACTCATCGGATTTATCCTCCTTTTTATCAGCCTAACTACTTTGTAGATATGTACCTCAAAAGAAGTTTCCGGTAAAATATATTTGATGGCCTACTCAATCAGCTTCAGGTATGACGTATTCAAGGGTCCTTTTCCACTGATGCCTCAACATTCTAGAAGGCCACTTTAGATACTGGCGGGGTATCCTTAGATCTGGTGTTGGAGGCATTAGAAGCCTTTTCAACCTGTGTCATAATCTTAGTAGTTTGAATGATAACCCTTTAAAACTTCCTCGAATTTTCTCTTAGGAAGATCTAATCTACGCTACTTATATGGTGGTTCTACGAGGCACGACCTATGCTACTGAGGCTCTGGTGATCGAATGCTTGATGCCTTCTAATGTCATCCATCTTCAATGGTCATGTTTCATTCCATAAACTAGAACATAGTGGACTACTCTGCAGTAGGTACTCTGCTATCACAGCGGCGCTGGAAATGCCGTAAGTTGACAAAGGTCAAGTGAACCTTATGTATTCATATAGAGATTTCGTTGGTCACAAACCCATCAGAGCTAATCCAACTTCTCAAGTAAGTGAAACGGTCAACACTCAATCACTTCAGCCCCTATTGTTAAACGACGCACCACTGACAGAAACCATCAAACTCATCGATCAACAGAGTCAAACTCTGCCCCCAGTTCGAGAAATAAGGCTGCTGTTTGGAGCTAGCAAGTTCACCTGTTTTCCAGGACCTTGTTGAGGGTAGATATGCGATTGGTCTACGCACTTCCAGTTTCGAAATCTGCCTAATTTTTTTGGGTTTGCTGCTCCTGAGTTTCTCGTAGATGTCTAATAATTATAGAAAGTAGGATCTTGAACACCGTTCGTCAGACAGATCCCCGTGTGATTATCTCAGGAGGATTTCTCTCTTTTCTTGAACATGGGGACAATCAGTGATTGAGACCAGTCAGGCAGGATTGTGTCTAAACCCCATACTCTAGCTAACACTTCAGTTAACCTGACCAATAACCCACTATCACCGTCCTTAAATTTCTCTAGGACCAGTCAATCTGACCATGCTTCTCTTCATCGCTTCAGATTGCTTACAGCTTTCTCGACTTCTGCAAGTGTTGGACGCCTATGTCAATGTTCCATTCCGCATCCAACTGAATAGCAGGCAACAAAATAGTAGCTGGAGGTCAATTGAGCTCTTCCTTGAAGTGTTTCGATGTCGTTCCAGTTATTTCTTGTGAAAGGTTCGAAGACCCACTCTTCTGTATTATAGTCTCACCATTAACGTTTTGCCCCACTTTCCTTGATCAATCTCAATAACTGTCTAATGTTACCTACCTTAGATCATAGTCATCATGTACACTTTTGCCAATCTACATTTGAGTCGCTTCCATTCACTCACTTGGTGCCTGCAGGGATGAGTTCAGGCGCATCCATTGATTCAAAGGAAGCTTCTGAGATCCACTAGCCCTTTCTAACATATTTCTGAGAGCTGGTTACGGTCGTTAATTCTATTTTCACAACTGGCTGAAGATGGCACTAAGCTTCTTCAGAATGATTGTTATTGTCCTGTCCATATAACTGTCGAACCAGTGCTTCATCGAAAGTTGCCTTAGTATTCTCATCATTGAGCTGCGATCGCACTGCTCTTATTGATTAATATTTCACTTCGTCTTAATTGCAGTCTTTAGGTGTGTAAGCAGAGATTATGTATGAACGACGATGAGTTTCACTACTCTTAGTAGTCCTCATTGCACCATTCGGTCGAGCAGCGCACAGTCAACTATCAAAGGGATACAATCGAGCAGTGGACTTTCTCCCTTAGGACTTAATGCTATGCCTATGCTCACAAGACTGCAAGAAATTGTCATTAAACCTCCGGAATTTCGAAAGATAAATGTCATATATTCACCACACTAGTCATGTGAATTTAAGTAAATAATAACATGCAGTGCTTTTATTTGTTCCCCATGAACAGCACCCTGTTTGACCTAGATGCTAGTTTTGACTAGCGAAGCCTGTCGTCCAATATAAAGTAAGCTGTGGACGTTGAGAGCTCTGATACTTAGTTTGGAAAGCGGTTTCAGGGCAGCATGGATGTTGTTCCGTTAGCTAAAATTGTTATTATAGAAGCTGCAGAGCTAGAAAAAATAAAAGATGATTTCAAAAGGTAAATAACTGGGTAATATCAAGAAAGATTAGAAGGTAAAGATGTACGTTGATAATCATCTGCTGGGACTTAAGTACTGACTTCTAACATATCTATATTTTATTGTGTGTGAAAATGCCTTCCAACAGCATTAGTTTAGCCTTCATAGCCATCCATTTTCCACATTTTATGTGAATATTCACTGAAAAACTGACAAAATCAACGTAGAACCCTCGCACACAGGTGCATTGGCTCAACTTACCACACTTCACAGTAGTATACAAAAAACAGCTGGATAGAAAGAGACTGATATCATAATCGACAAAGTTGTGTAAGAGAATAAACAGTTCGAAGATAACGGTTAGTGTAAATATTCAAGCTCTAGGAGATGTCTAGTAGGGAATACATCTGCGCCATTGTGGCCAATTTCCAGCCATATCAACAATCAGTGGTTGAGGAATATCCAGAATTTATCTAGCATCCAATAATTTTTTCCGTAACTATTAACTCTATTTTTTATGTGCACTACTCTGTCATATGAAGGCCAGTCACCCATTTATGCTAAAAGAGACGTTCGATGAGCCGTTAAACGAGCTTTTGATAGAATTAGCTATGGTTTCAGTTAAATTTCAAAGATAGACAACCACACGGCTGTGAGATATGGCCGTTAAAAGTAAAGGACATGAAAAACAGTTACAGCGTTTTAATCACAGAAGTCTCCATAGCATTCCTCGTATCTGGCACAATCACCGTGTGAGAAATGGTGAGGTCAGGCGAAGGGGACTAGACAAACTAGTCGATTGGTGAGGTTGTGAGGTTGTCAACTAAAATAGCTTGGCTATGTACTGCTCATGCCGAACCACCACCTGAGCAGGCGTGATTTGTTAGGGGAAGTTAGATTAAATTGAAACAGGGTTCAGGGTAGCCACTCCAAGACTGTTGATGAGTCATGTGGGGAGATGTAGACTGGTTGCCTGACGGGGATCTCCGAGATGGTTAGAATCAGTGGTTGATTTGTCTTGGTAACATGGTTGGAAACCGGCCGAAATGGCGCAGATGCCACTGATGTCGGTTCCAAGCCTAGTCATCACCTAGAGTTTCCAACCAATGGTCTCTCTTGTCCCCCAAATCCCAACCGGCTAGTCTGCATCGGCCGACATGACTGAAACCGAAAGCCAAGGTCTTCATGCATTGATGCCATATTTTGATCTGGCCACCACGAACCCTTCTCCAGCCCGAACCTATTTTGGCCGATATTGTGAGACGAGACAGACATTGGCTAGACAGACGTAACACATGTCCCAGCCATCTTAGTTGATGAAGGTTCACAACAGCATCAACTGTCTTACCTCTCCTCCCTAAAACTCTGCACCCCACTTCTGCGTTACTCTTGCGGTGATACCTACTGCGTTATCGTGCTCGTGGTTGCTGACCGAATTTTGTTTCTTCTTTCACTATATTGGTTCAGTGGTTCTTTGTACTTCTACATCATTAGTAAGTAAAGGGATTATTGATGTCCCCGGTTGTAGCTGTTAAATTCAATTGCAATTCTTCATGAGATAACATTGTCTCCTTGATCATACAGGACAAGTGTTGAGAAGTCTTATCGCAATTTAGTAATCAAATAGACCGACTGATGTCTGAATCTGGTTATAAAATTCCATTTATCACAAAAATAGCTTCATAAAACTTTTAGATTTCCAAATACATGTATAACTCCCTAAATTAATGATAAATAAACTATATTTTCTTGACATTAGTGCTCTCGTAGATTTCCTCGAATATTTGAATCTATGCCGATTGTCCCTCCTAAACTATATATAGATTAGAAATGAGGTGACTCAGCAACTGGTCTGGGCCGTATAGGGAAATGTAAACTTCCTGGTCTGGATCCACATAGCATACGAAATCGGTATTTGGAGATTCTAGATGATATGGCTTAGAATAGACTTCAGCGATGCAGATGCATCCACATATTATTTTCGTCTTAATCGTTATGCCGAATTTCATTACTGTTTTGTTCCTTATTACCCTCTTTTTTTCATGACTTTGAGTAGTTTCTGTCTTGTCTCTCTATCTCTGTTTTGATGTATTGATGTGAGGTATACTAACTTTGATGGTTACGCAGTAACGCCAAGTCGCATGTTGATATTGACTTACTTAACCAAAAAGCTTTGACTTGCTGTTATTACCTTTTAGTTAGTAGTCGGTATTCATAAGAGTGGATGTAACAGATTGATCTGATCACTGATAGTTCTTTCTTTAATGAATGTGAATTTGGGATCTATGCTTCTAGTCACTTCAGCTAATCACTATTTTTTCCTATGACAACTGAGTTTACATAGTTTTTGTGGCTCATTGTACCAAGTATATTCGTGTTTTCTTGATTGAAGAGGTAGGTCAATAAATTTTATGACTGTGTGTACTTTAATAGTATTTGTTTCTCCTTTTCGTATATAGCCCTTTATCTAATCAACATGGTAGTGTAGCCAGTATCGGGAGTCTGTTAGGTAATCTACCCCTGCATGGAGATTCAAATCTACAGCAAAAACCTCCATCACTTATTCCTGGAAGTTCAATCAATCTCAGCTTACATGGATCTGATGATCCTATCAGTATTCCTGGTAGAACGCCATGCACACCAATCAATTTATCCACTCCGTTACAGGATCGAGATGGTGCGATCCCAGTACCTCAGTTACAGTAAGTTCAGTCAATTTGAATATAGTTTTATGATTACCGAATAATGATTATTCTCATAATCCACATAATTTTATCTGATATACTCAGCGATAATCATCGACATGTAATGTCGAGTTGACAAATAACCATAGGTCGTGGAATTCGATCTAAATACCATTTAAAAGTGACTGATGGGTTTTGTAAATATCATTTAGTTTATTAGGTAGGTATCACGTCTAGTTACTTTCGTTTAACATTTGCTGTTGTGTTGTCTGTTTGACAAAAAGAAACGCCATTCATATGCAGTTTGTGCCCATAATATGAAGCCACTAAATCAGAATTCGGATACTCATTGTGATTGGTCATCTAAAGAAAAAAAGTTTTTTTCTTGCCCACACCGCAACACGAAACAGGGCTAAAGTCTAAAACTTCTACTTTAGTGGCTGATGACTTAGAATGCTGATTTCAGTTTAAACCGCTTCTTGTCAATCCATATTTCCTAATGTTTGACAAGGCGAAAAATCACTCTTGGATAATAACTTTGGTACAGTAGACTGTTTTTCTGCAGTGGGTTGAGCATTCTCATACTGTCAATCAGGTGTAACTTCCATCTTCAACACCGAGTGTTTTAATCTATAGCAATGTTAAGTGAAGGTTACGCAATCTCTCACATTTCATCCAACTAGCTACCTACTGAAGTTAGACTTGTGGGCCATCAGTTTTGGCACTCAATTTTCAACCAGCGAATCACTAGTCTGAAGCCTGCCCCGTTGTGTATACTGCACAACAGTCAGTTCTTTTCTGCTGTACGGCTATAGAACATGCCCATTAAAGGTAGAAGACATGAGAAGGTTTTAGGTGTTTCACCACCACTCCCTCCGTAGTATAGTCCGTATTCCGTGGTGTCACCGCGTGAGTAAATCAGAAGTCAGGTGTAGAGTTTTAGGTAGAAGAGGTAGGTCAGTTGACACAGTTGTGAACCTACATCGACTAAGATGATTGGGACACGTGTTACGTACACCTAGTCATCGATCGCCTCTTCACACAATGTTGGCCGAAGTAGGTTCAGGCTTGTAAAAGGCTCGAGGCGGCCAGACAAACACATGGTATCAGTGTATGAAGTGTTTGAATATTGGTTTGAGCCACGTAGGGTGATGCAAACTAGCCGGTTGTGGTCCGCGTGACAAGATGAACCAGTGGTTGGAGACTCTATGAGATATCGTTCAGAACCGGAGTCTGTGGCGCAGATGTATGCACACATTATTCTCATCTTAACGACGCTATACCAAGTCTCACCATTTTCTCATTCTTCCTTTCTCTCCTTCAGTAGTTTGTTCCTCTTGACTGAATTTTCTTTTCTTCATCTTCCACTTCACTGCCCTTTTGCTTCATGTGGTGATATGAGGTGTGGCAACTCGGACCGTTAGGCGTTAATGTCTGGTCCTGTGTTTATTTGCATGAATAGATGGATGGAGCCTGTCCCGTTTACTTGAACCGTGTTATTGGCCTTCATACACTGACTGTAACTCTTTGTCTGGAGTATAAGTTAGTGCACTGTTGCTGAGTTGTATAGCCTAGTCATGTCTACTCGTCCCAATTCAAGACGAGTCGCATCATGAATAGGGCGAATAAGTGGTTAGTTAATTAGTTAGTCTTCATCAACAACTGCTTACGCTCGTTACTGAAGATCAGATGGCCAGAAAGAATAAGCAACAAGGAGCTCTGGGAACGAACCAACCAAGAACCTATCACGCAACAAATAGGCAGAAGGAAGTGGAGATGGATTGGGCATGCACTGAGAAGGCCGACTGGGGACATCATGCGTCAGGCCAGTTGCTCGAGTGGAACCCCCATGGGAAGCGACGAGTTGGGCGTCCGAGGCGAGGGTGACATGGAGGAGATCGTGTGAGGAGGAAATGAGAGCTTGTGGGCTGTGGTGGAACCAGGTTCAAAAGATCTCAGAGAACAGAGGTCACTGGAGAAGTGCTACTGAAGCCCTATGTTCCATTAGGAACCCAAGGGACTAAGGATAATAATGGTAATAATAATTAGTCAGTCAAGCTAGTGGAAAGACTTACTCGATCAGTATTTACGAATTGTATGCAAGAAATATGGATAGAGATAATTTTTTAGAAATGATGAAGCTTTTTTCATCAAAGTTGACTCCAAAGACTTTTGTTCCCCCATAAAATGAAATCCGAGTGTGTTGTTCCAAAGGTGTATACTAGTTCTCAGTCTCAGTTCACCAAGACTAACATTTTTAACACTTCTCTGCGAATTTTATGACCAGTATATTTAAAAACAATAATAATAACGATCGCTTTATTCTAAACAACATGTATGACACAGCATTGAATTTTCAGCATGGAATATTTCAACGAATTCGCGTTCCGTACAATATTTGTAAAAGAAATCATTATTATTACGTCTGCATAGTGTTAATGATGGCAGTATCGAAGGAATAAGTGTGAAACGGGCAGCTGGTGTGTTACACTAACATCTGTTCTTGATTCAGAAATTCACACAAAATCGAGTGTAATTTTGTTCGTGGTAGTTCAGTCAGTCAGCCAGCGCAAAAATTCACAATCTCATACAGGTATCCTAAGAATAGCTATGTGCTGTAGTTTTGAGCATTTACAAATCCATTTCCAACTGGCGGAGCGTTTTCCTTATGGGATATACTCTAGAACCACTGTTTAAAAATAAGTTATTCATTGTTGAGTCACGTGAAGTAGTATGTTTGACCAGAGACGTTTTTCATAGTGTAGCTTTCTTTATAGGCTTCAAAATTTTGGAATAAATCTCTTTTTTCTACTGAAATATACCTGCACTACTTGGTGAATGTGAGGCTGAAAAAAACGTCTTACTAATGTATTATAACTTCCGTCTTTGACTAAGAAAACACTGAATGAAGTAACATTTGATTAAGAAGCTTGTCAAGCTAAAATATGATCATGGTCACAAACTTACGGTTTCTCCTCGTCGGTGATAGTCCCCAAATCCAGGCTGTAAATCAGTATCAAAACAGCTCGTTAACAGATTGAGTTCATATTAGGAGACAATTATTTACATATACAAATATTATAGGAAGAGAAAAGACGTGGATTGCAGCGAAGAAGTTACGAAGTAACTTACTAAGCTGTACATCCGTGTTACAGTGAGCGAAACGTTCCGGAATTGTTTATGATTAGGGGGCAAAATATACTGAATAAATAACTAATACATATTTGGGTTTTGAGTGGGAAAGTAAGCAATGAATTATGAAGCTAAGTGTAATCATACAATACAGGATGAATGTGTGGCAAAATAGGAAAATATTCGGAGGGCTGTGAAAATAAAACTGTGATTGTGTAATACAGGATGAATCTATGACGGCCAAGGTTTTATGTTGGCCATGGCAAAGATGAAGGTTTTGCGTACCTTTTTGTACGCATAACTCCGGTCTGAATATCTGGATGGCTAGCGCCTCAGCTATAGACAAGTGCCTTGATCTTACTCCCTTCGAGTTACTTGATCGAACCCTCTAGAGGACTTTGAATGAGTTCTCAAAAGGCGCTAGGTGGTTTGAATTCACGAGGTGTTCTGTAGATACATTTCCGTTCTCCCCTTGCCAGCCAGGCTGCATAGTGTTCGTGGGCACGTTTCACAGGCGGGCAAATGGGTGGAACTGAATATCAAAAATCAGTATGGGCTTTCTGTAGATTGATCTACGAAGTGAATGACCGTCTTTTCCTTGGAGTTGAACACCAAGAAAATGTAAAGTTAAGTTTAATTCTGATTCTAGAGTGAATTTGGTTGAAGGATGGGTGTTGTTGAAAGTAAGAAGCAGGATTACTAGATTCATACATTCATCACAAACTCTAAAGGTATAATCAATGTATCTTTTTTGGACATGAAGTTCATTGATTGTTGATAATGAATTTTCTTTTCATTGAATCATTTTCAGCTGTTGTACAGTCATATTTGTGGTGAATAACAAACAAATAGGTGGGTTTGTTATTGCCTAGTAGGTCAACATTGGGTCAACAAAGCGAAATGTTCTAGGGTGAAATAGTGGGTCAGTTCTAGTGTTAAAGAGTGATTGCGCAATCACGCTGTGCATAAGGAAAGTATGCAGTAGGTTAACGTGATGACTAATAGGTGAGTAAGTCAAAAATGATCATACTAATTATATTATCATTTGACTACCTGAGATAGCCGTAGTTTGGCAGACTGGTATTTATACTGGGGGGAGATTGAGAGTGAGATGAAAATCCAGACCGCGGCTGGATTCAAACCAGCGACCACCGGGTTACCGGCCCGGTGCTCTGCCAACTGAGCTACGAGGTCCGACTGGTGACCAGAATTTTATTTCACTTCAATCACCAAGGGTTTTGCGTGACTACCATGTGAATTCGTGATGCGTTACTACCACAGTGACTAATTATAATCAATAATCGGAATATAGCATCATGAGAATTTCAATTGAAGATTGTCGCTAACACGTTGATATATGGGAAAGTAAACTGCAAAGTGAAAATAGCAGTAGAAATAATGATAATCAATTGTAGGTTGGAATTCGTCATGGAGTGATATCAATTGGAGGAACATTGGAAACCTCGGAGCACTGGATAGCTGTTCCGTCCAACTAGTGTGGGACTCCTCAGCAGTTCGCACCCACGACCCCACCCACCAGCGACGGAATCCAGGACCTTCAGGTTCTGCGGTCAGCACGTCATCATTGAACCACTGAGTCGGTGGGATCAAATGGTCCATATTTTGTACTTCTGTCAGTTCACGAAATAGCGCGACCTACATCCAATGTCATGGTTGAGTAACTGACCAGTGGGGTCAATCAAGTTGAACATGAGGACAGTTACCCAACGATGACACTGGATGTAGGTCGTGCTATTTCGTGAACTGACAGAAGTATGAAGTATAGACCATGAGATTCCGCCGACTCAGTGGCTCAATGGTAACGTGGTGGTGGTGGGACCTGAAGGTCCTGGGTTCGGTCGCTGGTGAGTAGGGTCGTGGATGCG